AATTGGATTTGTGCAGATAACTTTCTTTGGAAAGTTGCCATTTTCTTTCTGTCACTTCCTATTCTTTGGGGCTCATAAAATGACAGTTCAGACTTAACTTTAACGTAAGCTATTTTTAGAGTTTTTTCAGACGTTCTTTACCTATTTCTATTACACAGGATGCATACTCGAGGGATCATTTTATTCTTTGATGGGGTTATTAAGCAATCACTGCCATACTAGGCCAGTATTAGAAGTTGATCTGCAGATCCAGAAACACAAGAGGAGTGGCAAACGGTTTATATTTCAGCAAGAGATTTATCCTGGAAAGGAGAAGGCAGGGCATTGATTATTGAAATAAGGGTGATTATTTTGTGAGTTATTTCCTTTAGCTGGAGTTCCACTGCCCACAAGCCACTTATTTTCCCTTTGAGTCCGGCATCTCTTCTCTTCCCGGCGAGGCTAGCCTAATACATGTGTGCAGGTTTAATGCTGGAAGGGAGGGTCAGCTTTACCCATACATAATCACTGTTTTATGGCTTTCACTCATTCCTGAGGTGTTAATGCAGATCAAATGGGAAACACTCAAGAAAGAACCCTTGCAGCTACTGCACTGCCGAGCTCTCCCGTCTCAATCGTTAATTCTTATTGTAAGATCTAAAGGTAATTTTGTTTGCTCTCTTAATGCGTTGCAGTTCTCCCAGTGGCCCTTGCATATCCTTTCTCAAATTCCCATCTTGATCAATTGTTTGCAAATAATTAAGCTTTTAAGAGATAATGGCATGAGGCTAATGTACACAACAAAGGCGAGGTCTCCCGTCACTGTCTATTGGACTGTGGTCAAATTTGCTTTGATATCCCAAAGTGATTAGGTTGATTGGTCTATCTGGCAAGTGCAATCCGTCTTTCCTTCACAAGAACCTACTGATCTTTCTTAAACTAGTGTCCTTGCCTTTTAGATGCAGTCATAGCAAAGGTGTTCAGGAGAATGGCAAGGGGTGACCTAGGCCCTTCGTTGCGATGGTTTGGAATGAATTTCCCATTTCTTCCTAAAATGGGACTTCTCTTCATCTCTTTTGTAAAATGAAGGCTACCTTTGCCCATCTTGTGGCCTCTCTAGCCCTGTGGGTGGAAGGCAACAGGGTTTGAATGTTTTTAAAGCGGTCTTGCCTGTGGTGTATTGGGTTTTTGTCAAGTCATTTTTTTTTACATCTACAAAGGAATAACTCATACTATCCACAAAAAGCTTATCTAGTAAAGATGCATAGAATTTAAGATATTTAAACATTGGATTTCAGTTAAAAAACCTACTTCTTTGTGAATTTTTGGTTGACTCAGGATTAACTACCTAAAGTCATGGGTTTCATGTGACTCTAGCAATTATCGATTTTTTTCAAGGAATTGAAAGTTTTCTGGACACCAAGGCCAAGAACTATAAGAAAAAGAAAACATTCAGTTGACCTTCCATAGACAGTTTAGGAATTTTGTTGATACCTTTACCCCCTTTAACAATGACCAGATTATTCTGACATTTAATTTCATCCAGGCTCATTCATTCTATTAAAAAAATATATCCCGAACAACTGAAAATTGTTTAATGGAGACAGAGTGCTGGGTCTCTATTGCTTGAGGCTGCCTAGCAATTATGCTGCATGAAATTAGACACAGTTTGTTCCAATTACTTAAAATCAGATCACATGAAAAGTGACAGAGGAAAAAAAGGGGAGAAGTTTCTCATTTTATGATATTTAAATTATGAAATCAGAAACGGCATGATGTGAAGGAACAATCCAAATTTGCACTGAAATTTTGAGGGTCACGTCATTGCTCTTTGAAGCTATAATGATTCAGGTAATTTTAATGATCCAAAGAGAATTTTCCTGACACCACTTGCATAAATAAAATGTGAATTCCATTTGCTTTCTAAGAAGGGATGTAAAACTTGCTCACAAACAGGCATGCAAAAATACTCTTGAAAACACAGCACAAATAAAAGACTGTGACAATTCTCAATTTTCAAAGTAACTAAAGGTAAATGGCATAAATATTAATTTTTATCCAGTTCTGGTCACAATGTTAAGACAACTAAGAAAGGGCAAAAGTTTTCACCATCCAACTGTAATGAAGAGAGATTGTTGACATATTTATTAATTCTACTGAAAATCACTGAAAAATATTCCTATAGGACCCGCAAAACTGTAAACAAATAAAATTACTGAAAACGTAGATTGGAAACTACTTGTGTATGTCAGTCTATAACTATATATGGCAAATACTGCCAACAGCTAGATGCTAAAATTTGCATATTTCAAAATTAGGCTTATATTCTGGAAGAATGGCTAGCCTGGGTAACCTTTAACTTTGATGGATCTTAGAACTCCAGATGACAAAATTGAGTATTCGCAAAGTTGTCCCTTGTTCAAAGTCTCATAGTCATGGAATGGCAACATAATTTATGTAATCTAATAGAGTCCCTATACCTATGTACAATTCTTCAGCTAGTGTAGACATAAAACTACTATATATCAAACCTTCAAATTCAGTATTCTATTCAGAGGATAAAAGATTCATTTGGTTTGTATTGTGTGGCAAACCTTTCTGCAGCAGGAGTTATGTTTTAAACCTTAGGGTAATGGATTGCTTCTAGCTCAGTAGCCAATGATGAGATTTTGGTTCTGATGACTGTCATTATGTTGAATAAGGTGATTTCACCTATAATCTTAGCCTATTAAGAAGTTTATATACTTTTATTTGAAAAGAGTGGATCAGCGTCACTTTTAGGAATGAAGTAAGAGAAAGGACTGTTGTGGATCTCAAATTGGGTTGTTTATATTTCCTGTGAGCTTCGAAAAAAATTTATTATACATTTTGATGTTGCATCTGAGTGGAGAGCTTCAGTGGATCATGGCAAACCATAGCCATTCCTTGGTTTCACAAATAGTTACTGATTTCTTTCCTGTTATGTGCTGGTCTGGGTTTTGAGGATGGTGAAGGAGAAAGGCACAGAGTTCAGAGTTGCTAAATGAGTGGGAAGAGACACAACAACAAGGAAACAAACGATCAGAACAGGTGTTTCACAGAGTGATGCTTGCTATTAGGGAAAAAAGAAAAAGACTGATGGGAGAGTGATAAGGCGGGTTGGTAGAGAGTGGGAAAGGCTTAGCATTGGAGCTGAGACCTGAAAGTGCCATTGGAGCGGGAGCCTGAGTGGTAGGGACAAGCCTGGCATGTTGGAAGAACAGAAAGGAGGACTGTGTGGCTGGGCAGAGGGGTGGGGTGGGGATGAGGAAGGCCATGCAGTCCAAGAGGTGAGCAGGGCTGGGTGGTGGCGGGACTTCCAGGCTGCAGTAAGCAGTCTGGAGGTTTGTGAGCAAGGGATATGATTAGAGTTATGAAAGGCGTTTGCCACATCCTTGGGTCATGGTGAGGCTGAGACACTGGAAGGGAAGCAGGAAATATCACAGCGTCGTGTCGCTGCTGACCATGCCTTCCCCTGGCCAGTTTCCTCACCTTTCAAACAGGAGGGGCAATAGATTCCATTTATGTCCCTCAAAGGGATATAATGGGGATTAATTACCATCCTGTCTGTGATATACTTGGAGCTCTTTAGAGAAAGGCACTATATTCCATGAAAGCAAAACCTTATTCTAATTGTGTATTTATTGATTAAGTGACAATCAAAGACAATGCTTAAGGGAAAAATTGCTACATCGCTGCTTGCTGCAAACAAATCCCATGTGTATCCATATAGAACATATTTAAACTTATATATAAGAGAACTGAAGTGGTCATTAACAAGCCTTCTCAGCATTTACTCAGACATTTTTAATGAGATTAAAAGCTGTGTTAATTAACATTCGACAGACCAGAATTTAGTTTCCAATGGCACAGATAGTTAATTTGAGAGTTAGGGGTGCCCTTTCCCATTCATAGAAAAATAGAAGGTTGACTATCAGAACAATTTTTATCTTGGGGAGTTTATTGGGATACAGTGTTTCAACATAGCCAGTGTCTCCACAGATGGAAACCATGTCCTCAGCGCCTCCCCCTCTTTAGAAAGGTATATTTCAAATTTAGATAGAGTTGACTACTGAGCAGAAGGTATTTGTGCCCAAACTGATTTCAGTAGAATTCTAAACATTCTTACAAGAAGGATTTCTTACAGACTAAAATGGATTTCATTTTATTATCTAATCCCGTGATACTTTTTTATCCACTCTAACTCATGAGGAACATAGCTGGGCTTGTCCTTAGCATGCAAAATATGCTGCTCTTTGACCTTATATTGGCCTGTGTTCAGAATCCTAGCATGTGTTGACATTCAGATATGGAAACTAACTTTGGTTGAATTTTATTTGTGCTTTGCAGAAGAGATAAAATGAATAGCGGTTTTTAAAAAAATATACCTACTTTAATTTTGACGTTTGTGTCTGGCAATATGGTGTTTTGGAGGGACGATGTCATAACAAGGTTCTTAACTAGTGAGAACCATAGCTGAGACTGCTGGTCCAAATGGTTCAACTTCAGAAATCCATGGTTCTGTAAAAATATTACATCAAGCTTGTATACTTTTGTATGGTCAAACAAGGCTTGTCCTTATTTTAATCCTGTAAAGTACAGTGAATATCATATTAAACTTTTTGTGTTTGCAACAAATAAACCTGTTAAAGGATGAACTCAGTATCAAGGTTCTGCAAGTATCCTAAGTAGCTATTTCTACACTTCACTAATCTTTGTAATTGGCTTGTCTTTTACTGCCATTAATTAGATGATGTAGTATTCCATTAATAAGAGTGACACACCTCAGCATTTTTACCTTTAATTATAGACTTCACTAGACACTTAAGTTATTGACAAAATAGCCTAAATATTGCCTGACGTACACATCTTTTTTTTTTTACAGAGCATATGTATTTATTACTGAGTCCCTAGCCCCTAGCAGTGCACCTGATATATGATACGGAAGATATTATCTGTCCAAAGTCTATGTGCATTCACCCAGCTTTTTTGTTCTCTTTCAGCACCCGTACCCTTCTGAAGAACAGAAAAAGCAGTTGGCACAAGACACGGGACTCACCATCCTTCAAGTGAACAACTGGTAAGTAATTTGGCTTTGTGTTTAAACACCATCCGCTTCCCCTCTGGCAACCTGCAGCTAATGTTTTGCATTGAGAAGACACACCCAGTTGTCCCTGTTTTCCCTGGTGACTTGTTGATGCAAAGGTGAAAGTGAGCTGTGGACTGATGGGTGAGAGCACTTGCTGGTGTGGAGGAGAACTGTTGTATTGCTGCCCCTCTCCTTTATAGATGGACAGATTTTAGGTAGGGTTTAAGTAAGTGTTTAATTCACATTCACCATGGCTCTGTAAATCTCTCTCTCTGGCTTTCTTTACCCTTCGGGATAAAGGATAGAAAGAATGCCATCATCCTATTTTCTAGGAAACAAGAAAATCCACCATCACATATCAGTCAGGTTTGAAATTCATGAATAAATTCAGTTAGATTCTGTTAAGGCTATGCCTTCAAGGAGTCTCCCCTTTTCCTCTTGTCTCTCATCTATGGAAAAGGAGAAATTATTTATGTTTCTACTTTGAAGCTATCCAAAACTTGATGTATCTCAGGGCGTGCAATATTGTTTCTAGATAAGTGTGTAAATTCCTGATTTGGGGGGAAGCTGAGATTATGTACCAAGAACCAGCCAACAATCTTCTGACTTAATGTACGGCGGTGTGGCAACGAGGCTTTGAGAAAGTATGATTTATTACCCTTTGTGAGTGTGCTGAAAGCCAGGTTCACATAATCACCGTGAGCTAGTGTCATATCTGAAGGGTATCGAAATCCAATATCCTCTAAAACTAAGTGTATCTAATTAATTGTCCTAATATTTTTAGATTAGTGTTTATGACGGGGAAACTTTATCCTCTTTGAAGTAAAATCCAGAAAGGGCCCAGAGCCTGGTTGAAGAAAGAGGAGAACTGGGAATGCTAGTTTGCAGACAGAAGTATTTCTTTCTGTTCACTAAGTGTCAAAGATTAATATTACAGCATCTCTGATTACATGGCCTAATCCATTTTGGGGAATAAATTTGTTCTTGATGTCCATTGCACCTGCATTAACAGACTCTTCTCTGTTAGAGAGCCCGGGAGCCTTTGGGAGAGATTTCAGATATATTAAAGCCCATTACAGAAAATGTAATTTCTGTCAATATAATCCCATGTATTCTTCAATTTAGTATTTTAGAGATAACAAGCTACTTACAATATATTTGCCTTTGGAGGATTAATTTACAAAGTGCCCTATCTGCAAGACACAGACAGACTCACATAAGCATTACTTGTAAGGGTTATCAATTTCTATGACCTTCCCACAGCCCTGGGAGATCAATTTTTGCAGCCCTCCTAGTCAAGTGGGTAGGGTAGGAAGGGAAGACGTGCTATATCTAAATGTTACCAGGCGTTGTGTCACTGCCGAGGTTTTTTTGTTTGCTTATTTTTATCTGCTACTGTATCTTAATTTTCAAGACTGTTGATTGTACATATTTGAACTTATTCTTTCAAATCATTCTGGGTGCTATTATAGGATAGACTATCAATTTTGCATGTCCACCTAAATTCATATATATTTTCAAAGTTAAACAGATGGTGAGCCAATCTGAATACAATGGAGGTTGTACAAATGTCGTACTTCCCTGGGAAATATTCCCATTTGAGGGCCAAGGAGTGGCAGAGCGAGCTCTAATTAAGGAAGGCAAAGGCACTGCCATACAGGTGATCTGTCACACCTGTCATCTCTCTTCCTCCCCAGGGTTGCTAGCAAATTCCGTCTATAAACATCATCACCAGAGAACAGATTCCAATAGAAGTTGCTTTCCAAAGGTGCACAGACTTACGGGATATTTGCTGTGGAGGCTGGGGCAGGCAGGCATTCCTGTGACACCAAGCCGTCTGCAATTGTCATTTTCCTAGATTCTCTGCACAGCGATCACAATTTGACTTCCTTGGTTTCGCAATTAGAAGGGGAAACAAAAAGACCTTTAAAAAAGTTTTAATACATAGCATATAATAATTTTTCAAAGTATTTGCAGACTTTACTCTAAATTTCACGCCAATTCTGCACAGGTCCATAACTTAAAATCACTTTTACTCACTTATGTGGGATTTAAACCCAATTCTGTTCTCAACTGGCACATGCTGTGGTGGACTTAGATTTACAGCATGATGATTTTTGAAATGTAATATGTGCTATAAATGTATGTATTCTTCTTCCTTTCCCCCCGAACTCCCAATTATGATTCGATCCAAAATTGATAAATAATAGTGTGGTGTGCGTGAGTTCTCTCTACTCCTATAGGGAGTTAGAAGTGACTTCTGCTTGGGCTTCATTGCTTTACACTTGGCAACTGTTTCAACTCTAACAGCTTTCTTTGTGGTGGAGAATTTCCCTCAAGTAACTAAAAGTTGTAAAAGAGATTGTTTCTCTTAAGTTTGATGAATAATGACATTCCCACGTTTCATTTGAGTTTTTAATGGTCTATTAATTTTCGTCCAAACCTTCTCCTTTTAGGGAACTGATAATAGATTTCTTTTTCTTTAGGTTTTGAGTAGGAAATATGATACAAAAACGGGGAAACCCAGACAGTATCATATTGAAACCAAAGATGTCAGGGAATCTTAAACTATGGCGTACGTGAAGACTAAAAAGCAGCATAACCACTCAGTGGTTTTCATTTTACTTTGCCATAATAAAAAATTACACAAAGCTTTTTTGAGAGCTTGTAAACGTTTTTCCTGTATTGAGCCTTAAGCCCAAGGTGCTTCCTTCTGGAAATAATAATTAAAAAACTAAATCTTCACTAGTAATTTAGAATTTCCCTTTCACTTCATTTAGCCACAACATTAAAAAACGTTTCTTTCTTGTTGGATTTCTTAAAACTTGTTAACACACATGTACATTTTGTACGAACGATGAGTCACTGTTGAAGAGATTTAAGAAAATGCTGAAGGGCAGGTTGGGTGTAGATCAGTCATAATTATTGGCAGCAGCATAGTATATTGAAATAGACAATGGGAAAGTGAAAAATACATAGTCGTGTCTAGCTGTTAGCTTGTCATAGAAACTCTGGCTGATGCAGCTTTAAGTTTTGACTGAAAAATGAGATGAGAGAAGTTTGGTGCATTGTAACAGTTCTTTCAATCTCTTGCTGAACTAATTTTACACTTCTTTAATTCACGTAAGTGAAATATACTACCCGCCTTGGATAACTAAGGCCAAAGCACATGGGATTGGAAAGGAGAAGAGACTGCAGGGAAAATCTAAATGTAAAACAGCAAGACAGATTTGATTAATTAAGAGAAAATTTGGAGTAAAAGAAATCACCATTGTAACTCTTACATTGGGTCTACTTGTCAGAATGAAAACAGAGGGGAGGAATCTTAAAATGGTTGGTCTCATTACTTGTAAGAATGGGGCCTTGGGGTGAAATGCAAAATTTATTAGATGAGACACTGTAGGACAAGTCTATGCCAATAATTTTTTTGAGAATTGAGGCAATTATGTAAATAGTTACACAAAATATACAAAAATATTTTTACCTAAATTAAGTATTTAAGGTAACTGCATGTTATTTTAAAAATCAGCTTCCGTAACTAATTGCCTCAATATTTCAATCTAGCATGCTGTGATGGACTTAGATTTACAGCATGATGATTTTTGAAATATAATATGTGCTATAAATGTGTGTATTCTTCTTCCTTTTCCCCCACACTCCCAATTATGATTTGATCCAAAGTTGATAAATAATAACATTTGGGGCTTTCATCTTTGTGTTTTCATCGTTGTTGTAGTTGTGACAAATACTTCTGTTATATCAGCAGTGAAAACATTACTAATATGTTCAATGTTTTAGTCGTTTAAGCAGAAACTTCTTAAGTTTTGAGATTAGATGGTTACTTAGGTCTTTAAATGTTTAGGTGGAATTTTAAAGAAAGCACCTATACACACACACAAAGTCAATACTCAGTTCTGTTTTCTCCTGAATACACCAACTTGGTTTTTTTTTTATTGAAAATGTGAGTGTAGAATGCTCAAATAAAAACTCCCTTATACGTTTTCACTGCAGTGTTGCAGACCTGGGAATTCTGTGTGATGAAAACTTGTGCCTGTGAGTGTATCTTACTTGCTGCACGCCGCAGACACATTCTGCCTCAGCGGAGGTCTAGCCAAGGGTGGATTGAATAAATTTTACAGTTTCTTTGTTTACTACTTTTCATCCAAACACTTTCCCATTAAGACCTAAAGTTAAACGATTATTCCTTTATGTTCTAAGAAGGCAATATGGATTTAGGTGCAAAATACATCATGTATGTGAAATACAGTATGTATGCAGAGAGAAAAATCGCTCTCCATCAATGGGGTGCATAAAATGCCAGGGAGCATCCTAACAACTGAGGTGACACTTCACAGAACTATCCCAGCTCTACGGTTCTCAGATTTAGTACACACACCAGATCTTCCTAGTTACTTCGTTTATTGCCTTCCAAATGGCAAATCATTGAGGAGTCACTTCCCATTTATTACTAGTGGGGAAAAAAAGTATGTTATCCTTAGAGATTTATGCTGCTAGCAGGTAAAAATGTAAACTTATTTTTAAAAAATAGGATCTCCCTTATCATAATAAACAGATTCAACAGTTAAAGGTCAGGTTGCTTTCTGAGTTATGGTAATAATGTAGCAAATACTTTTATAAGTAATCAAAGATTCTATAAATATAGGTACCTGTGCAGATGTAAATGTTAAAACATTCACAAATTATCCTTTCAACTTCTGTGATCTAAAAATCAATAGGGGGTCATAGGGTTTCATAGCATTGCTCTCCTTTTTCTTCCAACATAATTTAATAATACATTTTACAGATGTTGTTTAAACATTAGGCACAGATTGTTTTGTCAATAAAGCTAAACAGAGGCATGGCACAAAAGCAAGGAAAACAGATGTAAAAAACAGCGCACCGTGCAAGAAGCACTGGGTCATTTGTTTGCTATTCAGCTACGAAATGAAAGTACAGGGTGTCTAGCGATTTTCCCTGCCTGGGAATCACCT